GCTCGAGAGCTCCGCAAGACGCAGACACCCCCGTGGCAGCCAGGGGCCCGCTTCTGGGTCTCTCTGTGACCGGCCACCTGTGCGACCCGCCCTCTGGACCTGCTCCCTTAGAGGGGGCTGGGGTGCCGTGTGTGAGGCTCACAGCGAACTGTCCGCCCGGCGCCCTCAACACACGCGGCCCTCACTGCCGGCGAGGGCAGGTGGCCAGCTGGCTGGCGACCCCACGCCTCCTCTGATGCAGCTTTGCGTCCGTGGGACGTGGGGCGGGCGTGCGCTGCCGCCGCCGGCCACCACGTCGCGGTTAGACGGTTAGAGCAGGTCAGGGGTCGCTCACGCCTCCCGTCCTGACTCCTTGCCGTGCAGATTCTGGCAGCTGATCGTGATGACATCCCCAGTCCACTGCTTGTGCCAGTGCCTGGGCTCACTGTTTAACCCACGCCGACTCCCGGGGCGATGTGTGCCTTGCACCCGTGGGAGAACTGGGGGTGCGAGGTGACTCAGCTCCAGGCCACTCTGGAAGTGCCCTGGAGATGCTCTAATGTCACAGGCCACGGCTCCTCCGACTGTGCCTACGTGGGTTCCTACACCAACCCTGTCCTGGGGGCTGTTGACCCCTGGTGAGGCCGGGAGCCAGAGGAGCACCCCCTAGCACCCATACCTCTCGGCCCCTACAGCCCCTTCCCTGGGGAGGAGGCAGAAGGCCAGGCTGTCTTCACAGTGGTCCAGGGACCAAGGCCTCCCTGAGAACTTAATGTACTTTGTAAGCAGTGACCGGCAGGCCGGCTGCCTCTGCCCTCACTGTGCACAGGCGGTTGCTGAGTGCCCCGTGCCTAAGACCGCCCTGCAGCCCAGCGCGAAGATGCCCCCACAGGCGACCTCGGCCTGATGATGGGGGCCGAGCCGCCCTCCGCAGCAAGGCGGGAACCTAACGACCACCCTCGTCTTCCAAACGAGGACGCCGAGGCACAGAGAGGGCCGGTCACCTGCCCAAGGTCACGCAGCCGCTGGTCTCAGAGGAGCCAGATTCTGAGCTGACGACCGCCACACTGCAACCTCCTTCAAACGCGTCTGCTCCCCATCTGAGGAAGAAACGGCGGAGCCCGCTCGCCTCGGCCATGGGGGCAGTGGGTCCCTGGTCCCGCAGGTTTCGAATCCCCCGTGTGGCTCATGACAAGCACAGATGCTGGGACTCCCCAGGCCCACGAGCTCCAGTGGGCAGGGTGGGCACCAGTACCGGACACCTGTCCCCAAGTCGGCCTG